GAGTCGGTTTCTTCCGGATTGTGGCTAGAGAATCAACCGGAAATTCAGGCGACCGGAGGCACAGAAGAAGCTGTTGGCATAAGAACAGACGAGAGAAGGACTTGTGAGACTGAGGCACAATCAGAACATCGTTCTCGAGACCCGCGTATACTTGAGATGGAGTTAGAAATATTGAGACGAGAAGTTGAGCTGCTGAAGACTCGACCATGGACGACTATTCGTACGGCGGACGCATGTGCGGACACGGAGTTCAGACCAATGCAACCTAAAATTAATATGAGCGCTATAGCAGAACTTCTTGCTACTTTTGATGGTACAACGGATAATTTTGAAATCTGGGAAAAACAGCTAAGACTACTGAAACGGACCTACCGATTGGATGAAGAACACACAAGAATACTGGTCGGTATGCGGCTGAGGGGAAAAGCGTTGGAGTAGCTATATTCAAAACCCGAGCTTGTAGAAATATCTATAGAGGCTTTAATCTGCGAGCTCAAGGCTATGTTCTGTCATAAACCTAGTCGAGTAATGCTGCGTAAAAAATTTGAGGAACGTATATGGAGAAAAGACGAGACATTCAGCGATTACATGCATCAGAAAATTATTCTTGGAAACCGCGTGTCAGTCGAAGAAGAAGAACTTGTGGAATACGTCATCGATGGCATCCCTGATCGCATATTAAGAGATCAGGCGCGAGTTAGCGGTCTCAGGACAAGAGCTGCGTTAATGGAGTCGTTTGAACGGATCACGCTGTGGGACAAGAAGCATCCAGGGACGAAGAGCAACGAGGAAAAGTCACAGTTTCGGCCGAGGATGGATAAGAACAACGAGAGCGGGAAGGGTGAACAAAGGAAGAAAAATTGTTTTAACTGCGGTCTGTCCGACCATTTTGGTAAAAACTGTCCGACTAAAGAAAGCGGTCCGAAATGTTTTAAATGCGGTGGGCGTGGGTATATCGCGATAAAATGCGCCGAAAACCGAGCGGACGTAAAGAATAGTGTGACGTGACGATTAGTAAATATCGTCCGTCACTCGTAGTCTATAGTAAGGAAGCATTATGAGCTTCCCGGCTGCAGGCGGATGTCGCGTCCTAGCCGTAAGGCGTTTAGGACGCGAGCCTACGCAGCCCTCGAATCATATTTTTTGTGTATAAATACGGTCATAGAGGTTGAGTCAGGAAGAAGAAGCCACCAGCAAGGAGGACTGCTGCCGCCGTGGAAAAGGAAAAGCCTGCGAGAAGAACGGCCGCAAGACCTGCTACTCCAGGTGAACCGCTTCCATTAATAATACGACTCAGTAGGGACCGACAGGGTGGAAAACCTAACACCGAACTGTTTCAGTAACATCCTGAACGACGAGGCGAAGCTGTCGAAGGGGAGCGATCACAGGCTGTCGCTAGGAAGCCGCGAGGACGGAGTGGATCGACACCGCGGACGAGCGGAGGATAGCTGCCGCCGGAGGAAATCGGCGAGCACATCCTCCGCGACCCGGAGCGTCCTCCGATCCGAGCGAGGACGCCGCGAAGCTTGTGGATCGACGCAAACAACGGCTGCCGCAAAGGAGCTAAAGCCAAGGTCAGACTGACAAGGAAGCTCCAAAGCCTGACGTAACGGAAACAGCTGTGCAGAATCTGAGATCGGAAAACGGGGGAAAGATCCCGCCAATGAGCACTCAAAAGCTGTCGGAAGCGAGTTCAAAAACCTCAAATAAAACGGGAAGACAACGACCGTTCGAGAGCTTTCGTCGCCGATCTCGCCAAACATACGGTATATTAAGTGTGAAGGACGCGCCATCCGTAGAGCCGAGGACTAGACGACGAGGCACCGACGACTCGACCTTCGACCGTAAGGCCGCTGAGAGATCCAGGGTCAAATTCATGTGAGTCCAGAGGGACCGCCGAGGACAGCTACCGACTGCCCCCGCTCCGCTCGAGATTTGGTGAGTCCGTTCCAAAAGAAACGAGGACTATATATATTTTGGTGGTTTTCGTGACACGGAGCGGGCGAGGCGTCGACGAGCGGAGACC